TTGTACTTTAGACTAAAAATTTCTGGACTATCACAGAATCATATATTTCAATTTCAAGTTTATGAATTCTACATTTATTTGGGCTATTTTGGACCTTTTGAATGCTGCCATCTTTTATCCTAGTTAAGTTTTGAGCTTCCTTTGTTGCAAAGCATTAATAAGTTTCTGAAGCTTCTATTATAGGCATTCACACCTGAAGTATGTTACTGAAACACGTTCCCTTGTGCTCATTGTGAGCTCAGTATGTTACAGTACATGTTCTGTACATCAGGAATTATTACTTGTTAGTTTTACTGTCTATTGTAACACAAAATCTTGTTGTATTTGACAATTAGACATCTTTTGAGGACGCGGTACAGGTGCAAGGAGTTGGTATTTCGTGGCAAGTACAGTGTTAGCTTATATCGATTACACTGGTACAAGGAGTTGGTATTTCACGGCAAGTACAGTAATTGTCTCGAATGAAATCATTCTTTTACTTTGCTAACCTAGTTGCATTACCATTCCTCCTTTGGGGTACTAGTTTAATGCTAATTCTTTAAAGGGTGAAAGTGGAGGTGTAAAATGGATTTGACTGTCTTGGGAGTCAAGCAGGTTTTTAGGCAACTCACATTTCCAACTTGGTTTGGCCTACCAAAGAACGTGTCTTCTTGCAGGCCTAAGACATAAAAATGAAATAATTCACTTATACAAGTTGTTAGGTGNNNNTACAAGTTGTTAGGTGCACAAGTTGATACTATAAACATGCTGAGGGAGCAATGGAACTATATTAGTCATTACCTCATTTTCCTTACAAATGTAAGGTTTTGTGTTTTTGTATTTTTCTATGTTATTACTAGTTTATTGCCCGTGTAATGCACGGGCAATGTAATTTCGAAGGTAATGTTAGCGTTCCAAAAAAATTTCAATAAAGATTCTTACCCATGAATAATATGGCCACATTGTAACCACCACATCATCTCAACCATTTTGTTGTGCAGACTAACTGCAATCTGTTCTAAGGGAAGGGGGATTCGGCGTTTCTAAGATGAGAGGAAATGCAATCGGGAAGATTCTGGAAAAAATGGAAGTTGTCTACTTGCTGAAAATACTTCATAGTATTCCTTTATATACAACAAACAAAATAAAAAACACGAGAATGAGAAACGATACATAAAGCACTATGCTTAGAATAAAGAGTTGATAGTTGCTTGATTTATTCTAACATGCTGTAACAGTATGTAAGGAAATATAAACACAAGTAACATTTATATCATACATGGTCTCCCCCATTTACAAGTGAAAAGTCTAATCATT